CAGATTCTTTCCTCTGGCAAACTTTCCTCCACTTCTCAAAAACAGTCAGCATGGGGACTGGAGAGATGGCTCAGCGGTTAAGAACACTGACTGTTCTTCCAGAGGACCCGGGTTCGAATCTCAGCATCCACTAACAGCTAACAACTGTCCATAACTCCAGTTCCAGGAGATGCGATGGCCTCCTCTGTCCCTGCGGGCATTGCACAACATGGGTGCACTTATATACATGTAGGCAATGCACTCATACACATAAAAATGAAAATAATAAAATATTTTTTAAAACTAAGCCCAGGAAATTTGCTAATCAGTTTGATTCAGCCATTCAACTGTGCATCCAGATTTTAAAGCATCTGATTGTGTACCACAAACAGACAAATTTTGCCAGTTTCAAAAGATCCAGTTGGTTTCACTTCCAATATCCACTGCATGTCTGGCTGGTTAACCAAGTTCAGTCATCTGCTGTCTGCTCCCTGGACATCTAGGGGAGAAATTTTCGTGCCTGAGAGCCATTTTTCTTACCCTACACTTTTGCTCCTTTACTGTCTCTGAGAAGAGTTGAGTGATTTTTTTTTTTAGTTGTGGCATAATACTCTTCCTTTTAAAACCTGGAGTGACTCACATTGAATTTAAAATTTAATCCAGATTTCTTGGTGTGACCAACAAGGTCTGTATGTTCCATCTCCTGCCTGACACTCCAGCCTCTTCCCACATGTTTCTCCCCCTCAGTTAGTAGGCTTTGGCTACCCAGTTCTGTGCCCTGATCATAGGCCCATCAGGCACTGTCTGTCCTGGAGCCACAATCCTTGATAGTTTCTCTATAATAGGCACTTCAGTCTCAGTAAAAACTGTCAACTTTTTTCTTATGGCACAGATCACTATCTGCCTTCTTCATTTCTTCCAATAAAAGCCTAGCATTTCACTCTCCTTGTTTCTGTCTAGAAGCCCATCACATACCTAACCTAAAAAACCCCACATTTTGCAGAAGTCTAACACATGATTAATTGTAGAATGTGCTGTTGTGTCATGTACCACCCAGAAAGTAAAATCATTGCAAATTAAACCTTGGCTGAATGCTTACAACTACTGAGTGTAAAACAGTTTTGACTTGTGAAATGTTTATTTTCCTACGTGTATTCTTGAGTTAATGGGATGCACATATTACTGGCTAAATAAATGAATGTATGTTGCTTATTCAAGATTACTTATTTGATAATCTTTTAGGACAGTTATTGATAAAGTGACACAGATCAGATAGGCCATTACTCACACTGTGCATTAGAAGAGGCTGATGTTCTTATAAGGAAGTGTGAGTAATTGAAAGGATTGCCTGAGTAATTGGTCCAACTGCCTGCCAATTATTAGTTTCCTGAAAATAATTCAAATTCTGAATATGTAGGTCTTGAGCAGGCTGGGAAACTTAACACTCAAAAGACATTTCAAGAGACTTGTATGCAGTTCTCATGGAAGTAGATTCAGCCCTACACTTAAAGAAGCCAGAAGAGATAGGGCCAGATAGAGGTAGACATAGGATTGGTAGTGGGGAGATGGTGTGATATGTGTCTGATTCTTCTCTGTGTTCAGTAAAGTGCTGTGTGAGGTCACTGGCTAGGTGTGTTGTAGGGGAAGGATTTTGGAGCTTTGAGAAAGAATAATTAGGGAATGAGAAAGCAAGAGGAAGTAAGGTGTTCAATGGAAATGGAGCAGGTCTGCAGAAAGAGCCAAGAACCACTGAAATAGAAGACCAGGTGCCTGACTGGATGCTGGATGGTATCCCAGTGTGGTCAGGTAATAAGCACTGTCTGCTGGAAGAGAGTGCACCCTTTGGTTGCCTGGGTGGTTCTTCTCTAACCGTCATGGCATTTCCATAAGACCTCACTATTCCCAGATAACTATAAAACCGTGGCATCCATTGTTATAATTTGTATGTTTAAAATAAATGAATAACAAGTGGAGGGAGGTTAGATTCAAACACCAACCTGGAAATGGGAAACCCAGGATCTTAAGCACTAAAGTGTGCTGCTACAAGAGCCTCTGTAATGCTCATGTAAACTGGGTAGTTTTCTGTTTTTCCAGGGAAATAATCCAGGCTCCTCAGACAACTTAACACTCTGCTCTTATGTCCTTCCTTATCTACAGTTACGTACGCAGCCTCCATTATGGGGTCCAGTCTTTAAACCTTCTTTTAAGGATGTGATCTAAAGTTTTCATGCATGAATGTTTGCTCTGTAAGTTGATGCAGTAGGGCCATGGGTAGAACATAGCACCCCGGTTCTAGAGTGCTCTGTTCTCCTACCTCCAGGGCTTGCCTCAACTTGGGTTTTTGTTTGTTTGTAGTTGTTGTTTTGGCTGCGTAGAGCAGCTTCACCCTTATTGGCTGAGTCCCACTGATCTCTGATCTTAAGATCTCACCTGAAACCTCACTACTTCCAAAAAGCCTCTTCTGATCCTCCCAAGTTTGAGGTGGCTGAACTTCCCTCACCCTCCCCTGACACCCTGCACCACCCATCAGGCCAACAGTGCTACCACTCCGGGTCCCTGATCTGTCTGCTTCATTCCTGATGGGCACCCGCCAGACTTCAGCACCTAACCCAGTACCTGACTAAGAGGAGGGCTTCATATTTGGGAAGCTCATGAGAACTTCTGTCTTCCTTCATGAAGTATGACTTAGAATAATTTATTATAAAATGTAGTTGCAAAGCCAGATGTGGAGGCACTCCTAACATACATGAGGTTGAGCTGGGAAGATAGTATTTTCTAGACCAGCCTGGGTTATAAAGTGAAACCCTGTCTGAAAAAAACTAAAAAACAGGAAAATAGATAAAAATGCAATTGGGGAGCCGCTGAGATTGAACAATTAAGGACTCTTGTTACCAAGCCTGATAATCTGAGTTTGATTCCTGGGTGGAAGGAGAGAACCGATTCCCGCAAGTTGTCTTCCGCCTTCAACACAGGTGACTTGGCATGTGCACACCCCTTCTCCACACAAACGCAAATATAAATGAAGAAATGTAAGAAAATTAAAAATATAGTTGGGGTTAATAGTATAACAGTAATGTGCATTATAAAATCTGGTAGTAACTATGAGCAAAGTAATCACAAAAAATTACAAAAATATTTTTAAAATAGACCTCTTTGTACCACATTTTATACAATTTTAAAATTCTGTAGTAATTTATTCTTTCAGCATTCTATTGATACCCTGCTAAGGCACTATTTCAAGCCAGCAAGACGCTTCTGCCTTATCAAGCCAGCTCATGGCTTTTGCTGACATTCAGTGTTTGTTCCCAGGCTTCTTTTGGTCTATAGCTTAACTACTTTCTCGCAAGTTTGTGCCAGATAAGCAGCAAAGTTCAAAGTTAATTCAACTTGAAGATTTTTGGTTTTTATAATTATTTAGCATAGCCCTGTTTTTTTCTCCCCTGTACTATGTGGCATTCTCCCATTTATGCCTCAGCCTTCCTGGGGTGGGTGTGTTTTGATGGATCAGAACAGTGAGTAACTTCTGTCAAAATGAAAGAGTTTACAGTCTTTTGCCCTGTGTTTCCAGTGTGGCCTTTGCTGTATCAGGACAGAGGAGGTCATAGTGCCATGGCTGTAAAGAGTTATCTTCAGCACTTTGGAAAACATTACAGCTCTTCTTTATGTCAAAGTTTATTTTCTTTTATCTCTTAAAAAATTAGTAGTATTGGGCTGGAAAGATGGCTCAGCAGTTAAGAACACTTGTTGTTTTTGCAGAAGTCCTAGGTTCAAATCCCAGCACCCACATGGCACCTAACAACTGTCCATAACTGCAGTTCCAGGGGATCCAACAGCCTCTTCTGTCCTCCATGGGCGTTGCATAACACGGGTGCACTTACCTACACGCAGGCAATATACGCACACACATAAAATAAAAAATAATAAAAGAAAAAAAATAAAATTAGTAGTGTTCACATTTTGTGTTTTAACTATTTTCTCTCATCTTTAATATTAGTGACATCCAGTGTCCCATACCAAATGCTCACTAACAGTCTGGTATATCCTTCTCTGTCACATCTGAGTAAATCTTGTATATTATCTCAGTAGCAGCCAGATTACATAAGACTTTAAACATTTTTAAAAATTACATTTATTCATGTATGCCTGTACATGATGCTCTTGTGAAGGTCAGAGGACAAATTATGGAAATTGGCTCTCTCCCTTCACCCTGGGAGTCCTGGAGATCAAACTCAGGTCTTAAGGTTGATCAGCAAGCAAATTTACCTGCCAAGCCATCTCACCAACCCAGGATTTTCTTATTTTTCTTATGCAATTGTATTTGGTTTCCTTTCTACCTTTCCTAAGAGTGTGATGCACTAGATTTATTTATATCCTTAGCAGGGAAGGGCCAAGGAAAGCATTTTTTGTAATGATTTTTAAATTAATAGATATTAAGCTAAGCACTTGATAAGAATCTCTTCTAAAAACTGTGCCCAAACCATCATGCTGAAATAGTATTAAGGCCCAAAACTCTGAAAGTTGGCAGGCCACATAGATTCTGGCTTACCCTGCAGTTTCTATAGCTGACTGAATGCTGTCTCACTCTACGGTTTCCAGAAAAATAAGATGCTAGTTTGCCTCTTTGAGCCTGTGGCTTAGGTTCTTTTAAGTTTGCAAATACCATTACATTATATCAGATATAAATATTATATATTATATCAGAGAACCCCTAAACATTCAGCAAATCACGGTTATTTTTTAGTACTTGTGACTTCAAAATGATTACCATTCATTATGTTATGTAAAAAGAGAGGCTGATAATCCTTCATTGCAGCCATGAAATAATTAATACTGTATGCAAAAAAGGAAAAGAAACTTAATAACCAGTGATCTTAGTTTTATTTCTCTTTCTTCCATCTGTTCTTCCATACAGGTACAACTTGGCCAAGTAGAAATCAAATGTCCTATCACAGAGTGTTTTGAGTTCCTAGAAGAAACAACTGTTGTCTACAATTTAACCCATGAAGACTCCATCAAGTATAAGTATTTTCTGGAACTTGGCCGGATTGACTCCAGCACCAAGCCGTGTCCTCAGTGCAAGCACTTTACAACTTTTAAGAAAAAAGGACATATTCCCACCCCTTCCAGATCGGAAAGCAGATACAAAGTAAGCGTGTCCCCAGAGTTGTGGGTTAGAGGTCACAGGATGGGAGCAGCCATGGTAAACCAAATGGTGGTGGGCGTTATCTGGGCTTCCTTCTTGCTGGCCTCAGGTGAGCAGATGTTGCCTATGATTCTGACAGGTGTGATGTGGGGAGACACTAAGAACACTCTACCTAACAGAAAGACTAAGCTTTAGAGTAGCACTCTTTCCTTTTATCAAATACTAAATCAATACTAGGGCTTTTTCTTTTTCTTTTCTTAATATGAATTTGACTTTTTCAGTGGTCCCAATATTCATCTCCTGGGCTGTGTCTATAATAGTGAATATTGTATAAACATTGTTCAATATTGTATCACCAGATACAGAATTGTCAGTATGTGCTTGGCATTTGCTCAGTTTATTTGACAGATGAATGTGACACAGTCCCTTCTTCAAAATAGTCTCAGAGGTGTGTTGATCAGCTTTCTGTTACTGTAACAAATACCTGAGATAATCAACTTAGGAAGAAAAGGTTTATTTTTGGCTCTCAGCCAGTTTTGAGGTTTGAGTCCATGACGAATTAGCCCTGTTGTTTAGGGCCTATGGTGGGAGCACATGACAGAACAAAACCACTCACCTTGTGGTTGTGAAGCAAAAGACAATGGAGAAGGGGACTAGGGTTCTAGATTCTCCTTCAAGGGTGTGCCCCTTTCCATTAGACCTCCTAAAAGCTTCAAGGCCTCTCACTGGCACCACCCTGGGAACAAGCCTTTATTTAGCACATGGTCCTCTGGAGGACTCAGAAGAGGCATACTGTAGCAGAATAAGGACACATGTACTAAATGGTAGTTCATTCTGATTAAGGAAGCAAAGCAGAGGCGCCCACAAATGTCCATGCATTTTGGACATGTGCAGTGCTTGATTTGGGGACACGTGAGGAGGAATGGGTACTAGCTAGGGTGTCAGGAATGGCTTCATGAAGAAGGAGTTGTTCTCCAGGTAGATGAAAGCTTTTCAGGGAAAGTATGAGTAAGAGCCCAGACCTAGAGGCAGAGGCTGTGCCTGTTGAAAACAAGTAGGAAGGAAGGGAGAGGCAGCCAGGCAGGTAGATAAGAGCAGGTCACGTTCAGTCTTGTAGCCTGTGCTCAGAAGTTTGAATTTAATTGTGTAGGCACCAGAGAAAGATCATTCTGCAAGCATTCACAGAGGCTGCCACAGGAGGGCAAGACCCTGGGCCGGGAAAACCAGACAGCAGCTGTGGCATGCAGTCTAGAGAGATCTTAAGATGCAAGAGTGATCCAGGCTCACCCCAGAAAAATTGTCTTGCAATATGTTGCACCTTACTCTGTGCCTAACATGCAGCCGAGTAAAGGATTTGTAGTAAAAGAGGCAGGAAACTGGGGAGGCTACAGTGTTCATTCTTGTCATTACAACAGGTGGCAAAGTGAAGTGGTTTCAAAGCTATTTGAAGTCGTCTCCATTTAAGGCAAGTTTCTGCCCATGTTCCGTCTCGGAGGCAGCAACCACTACATTATTCATCCTGGCGCTTTGAGGAGACTGTGGTTTAGTAAGGAGTTTCCTCCTCTGCCAGGGCAGCAGTGAGCTGGAGCATCGCTCTGTTGCTCAAATCCTCTTCATGACTAATTGTTTTATGAAGCTGCTCGACTCTCACAGTTAATATTTTTATTTGTGATTTTTTTTAATGCAGTCTAGTCTCTTTAAGGCATAACTGTCAGGAAGAGCCTTTTGTTAATCTTCTATAAAACATGTCATCTTATTACGGAATTGTGTAACTAAGATAATACCCTACAGAGATGCCGGCTGCTGACTTAATGGAATATTTTTGTTTGATGATGTATATTCTTAGGTTACTTCAAATAGACTTTATTACAGTTGTATTTTATTGATGTTATCAGAATATTATTAGTTTTAGAAGAACTTGTCATTCCATAACTTAGGCTATTTGGTTTTTCTAAATTATTTTTAGAAGTAGGTGTTTGTATAAAATGAGACTATACAATCTTGGAATTTGTGGTAATTAAAATATATAATAGAATCAATGTGAAGATAATTGAGTAACTTAAAGTGTATTATTCTTATTATATGGGTAGCAGGTAGTATAATTTAAAGTACAGTTATAGCTAGAATAAAATAATGTCTTGTTTCATCCAAAACCACATTGCGATAAGCATAGTTTATCACAATGCATATATATTCAGAGTGAAATACGAGATCCTGTATGTGTATAATCTTGAGTGAACCCAAAGTATTTGGATAGTATATCTCAATCCTAGGTAGGCTTCCTTCAGTGTCTGTCAGCTTTGTTGTAGTTAAGCAGAGGAGCAGAGACCCAGTGGACCATGATGTTCTCCTTAGCAGACTCTAATGCTCACTTGTGATGTGTACAAGAGAAAAAGTAACAAAATAAATGTTAATAATAAAGCAGCTACAATCCTTAGAAAGTAGGTGAGAGATGAAAATCTAAATATATGTTGGTCATCTTTATGTCACTGTGACAAAATATCTTATACACTTGACTTACAAGGAGGGAAGATTTCTTTTGTTTCCTGGTTTCAGAGGCGTCAGTCTGACTTTGGCTGTCCTCATTGCTTTGGGGCCTGTGGTGAGGCAGAGCATTATGGTAGAAACATGCAGTGTGACAGATGAAGCAAAGAGAGGGAGCAGAGGCCTGGGTCCCAGTATTTCTTCAAAGGCATACTCCTCAATGATCTAACTTCATCCCCTAAACCTACCTCCTAAAGGCTTCACACCTAGCAAAGCACCGCAGGTGGCATCCCAGCCTTCAAGAGCATCACAGGTCTTTAGGACATTCCAGATCCATGTAGCAGAATACAAAAATACAGAATACAACTGTAGCAGAATACAAAAAGAAACTGTCATGCAAATTTAACAGTAGTCAGGTTGACACTGAATGTGGGCATAGTTACTTTTGTTTCTTCTGGTTATTCTCCTAGAGGGAGAAAAATCTACAACTGTCTATATATAATCTCCCTGTTCTATGTGGCACACAGCTCCAACCATGATCAGAATAATTCTTGAAGCAATGATTGTTTTTTTCACTATTTCTAGTAAAATGTCCATATAGGTTTCCTCATCACTGAACTCCAAGCATTAGCATTACCTGATTTACATGTGCAAACTTCTCTGAATATTAAGGCAAGGGGGGCATTGACATGGGTACTGCAGTGAGCCTGGGGCATACATGTGTACAGGATAGCACTCTAAATTGACAGTAAAATCTTAGGACTTGAGGTGAGCAAATGGCAGTTTTCATTTTGATGTATTTTACTCATTCATCCCAATAGCTAAATCCACTTTCAGTTTGGTGTGGTGGAAATGAAACATACTGCATTATAAGGTAACAATCAAAAAGTTTGCCCCTAACATTCTGAGTAATTTTAATAGCTCTTTATAATACTCTAGTCTCAGACAAGTTTTGTGCCTATTGTTAAATCCTTTGTCATGTTTGTTTCAGTAGTACTGTTTTTGAATTACTGATTTAGAGTATCTCTATCTAAGATGTCATGTTGAGTATTTATTTTGGTTTTGTCTGTCAGTTCAGAAGCAGTTAATTTAATAACTTAAAATTGTTTAAAGATGTCAATGTCATTTTCTAGCTAAGTGCTTCTGTGTGAAGTTGAAATCTAAAATTCCATATCTGAGACTTTCATTTATACAGCTTTTTGGTAAAATAACAGATTTGCTAAATATTTGTACTCAGCAGATAGATGGGAAAAGATAGGTAGGTGCTCGTTTGTCCTTCTAGGCCCTCACTCAGCAATTCACTTCTGGTGAGAATTTGAACAAAAGTATTATATTCTGAATACTTCAAACTCATATCAAATTGAACAAGTGCATTTCTGAGTAAAATATCTACCTTGAGATCACTTTGACTTTAATCAAAACAGTTTTACTTTTTTCCTCCATAAGGTTTCCATCATCTTGTCCCTATAGCTCATGCCATGCTATCAAAACATTTTATAATTCCTTTTCTAGAAAGGTAACTTCAATTTCCAATTAGGAATATGATTTCTAACTTAAATGGTCCTTCTCATGTGTTAGTGCCATGCCAGATGCCTATCAAGTTGCAAACAAGTTAACAGTGAGAAAATAAATATGGCTTAAATGTACTCATGCAATACCTAGAGACAAAAGCATCACCCACCCCAGAAGTTTTTCCCCATAGAGATTATCATCTGGGATTTTACGGTACATTTGTGTAGCTATTTGCTTAAAGTCTGTCTCTAACTGGTCTCTAGGAGGCTGGGTCCAGGCTGGCTTCATTCCCTGCTGATAAGCAGCAGAATGTCCTTGAGAGTATTTGTGTGAAATCTGTGTGCTGAAGGAGCTGATAAATGGCCCATGTGTAAATAATAAATATGTCCTATAATAAATGCAGGTGGAAAATGCTGAGAGCACAGGAGAAGAAAGGACAGAAGAGACTGGAAAGGCTTCACTGAGGAGTAAGGACATTAAGCCTTACATGCTGTGTTTACCAAAGTGGGTCAGAACACTGACTTTAAACTTGACTTAAACTCGCAGCCTGTCACACACATTGTATAGCCTTGACTGTAGTTTACACTTCTTTAACAGGGGGTGATAATAGACCTATATACTAAGAAGATAGTGAGGATTAAATGAGATCATGCACATAAAGGGCTTTTCTCTGTGGCTGCACATACCATGTGCTCAGTACGTACTAGAAGTCATTATGGTCATGATTATTGGTAGGCAAAGGAGCAAAGGTAGCAGCTTGGGTATTGAGAATGGGGTAGAGGGTCAGAAAGATTAGAAATTGAGTCAATGAATGAGTAAGAAATGAATGGTGGGAATAAGAGAGGGATGACATTGATTATGCATGGGAGAAGAAGAGTAGGAGGTTGTTTAGGTAGTAGAACGTTGCTTTTTTTCAGTTGGAAATAAGTTGGTGGTATTAAGCATAAAGACCCTTGGGACATCACAGAGATGCCTGGGAAGCATGACTCAGAAGTGATCTATAAGTC